CTTTTCGGTCGTCGTCCTCGGTGTCGCTCTGCCGTTCATCTATGGTTGGCACCTTGTCCCACGAAACAGGCAATTCGTCATGGTCACCATCGTCGGATTCATGGTCGCGAGGCGCGCCTGAAGAAGGCGGAAGCAATACTATGGGCAGGTTGAGACTGAGATCAAGGGCATCGTTGGCGCCGAAGGAGAGGCGATAGGGGTCGGCAGAAGTGGCCATGGCCGGTTCGGGGCGCGGCGATGGCTGGGGTATCTCGGGGTCCTTCGGAGGGTATTCGGAGGGTAGGAGCTGTCGCTGCTGGACCAAGTTTGGTTGGTGACACCCGGTCGACGGCCACCAGAATTTGTGCGACGGTGACTCTAGGCGTGTGCGCTCCCAGATCAGTGGTGTAGCCAGCCGCCGCTATTTTGTATCGGCGGTTGCGGCCGCTGCTGGATTGTATCGTCGATGAGGGCAAAGGGGACAGAGTTTTGTCGATAAGCCGCCTAGGGGGACCTTGTAGTACGGGCTTCAGAAGGCGTCGCACCTCATGACAGGCGAGCAGTCCAGTCGGGGCGATTCGACAACCGTCGGTGTGCGAGATCGATTGCGAGTTGGTGTTGAAAGAAGCAACAGCTTCGCAGCCTTGGCCGATCAGAGAGACAGCTGGAGGGCTATCGAAGCGAGTGTGGCGTCTGGAATGCAAGCGAGGGGCGAAGCAGAGAGGGCTGGTGCGTTGTGAGCTGCTGCTGCGGGCTCCCGCTGGCTGCGCCAAATGGACGAGGACGGCAAGAGAGGTGGTCGAGCGACGCTGGGCGGCGGATGGAGGGGGGGGGGGGGACAAAGACAACGAGACACCAGAGGATAGGGAGTTTGGTGAAGACGCAATGCAACAGTAAACGACTTTGTTTCCAGGTCCAGAGGCAGGGCAGACAAAGGGGGGATGAGGGGGTGCAAAAAAAAAAAAAAAGAGGTCAAACAGACGGACAGCTTCTGCGTCTTGGGCCACTCTTCTTCCCCTCCGTCTTGCAGTGCTCATTGCGTTCGTTGGTCTGCTTGGCCCTGCCTGGCCTGCCTAGAAGGACCGTGGGCATCACTGGGTTCCCGGGGTCCTGATCTGGGGCCCTGACTGGGTCAGGGGCGAAAGCAGCCTGGACAGAGGTATGGTCTCTCTCTTCTGGGGCCTGTGCCCCTGAGCGTGCAGATGCAGATGCAGATGCAGCAAAGATTGATGCAAAGTAACACAAGGGGCGATCCTATGTGGAATAGCTTGGGAGCCACCTCCTGCCCGCTCTTGTCCGCTTGGCCCGCCTGAACAGAAGTCAGTCGCGCTTGCATTCGCTATGGTGGCACCTGTACCACGGCCCAGGCATGAGCTACGGCCGAATGTGGGGATTCTAGTGGGCTGGACCTGACCATCGACCCCCCCTTTCCCTCCCCACCTCCACCTGCCTTACCATGTACCCATGCCATGGTGGTCGACAGATTGCACATGTACACACACGAAGGCTCCATGTGCTGCACAACTTGCGAGACGTGCATAATATGGGACGGCCACTCTTCTCTCGGGGGTACTTGGCCACTGAAGCAAGTACCACTGAAGCAACAGTCCACGCGCAGCCTGTACATGTAGGCTTGCCAATGTTTTGTTCGTCCAGCGACCAATCGAGGAGCATGGGCCGCAGCCGCAGATCCTCAACTCTAAGGAAGGAAGCTCGGAAAGGGGGGGGGGGTTCGATGATTTATGCACGATTGACCCCTCCGTGAGTCTCATCGCCATTCCAGTCGTCCTGCCAGAAACTTTCCTTCTTTTGGTGCGTGCCGCCGCTTGCCGGCAACGTGGGAAACACGCCCTTGACACAAGGAGCATGTTGATCGATCCCTTGGTGTTCCCTGAGACGCCAGGAGACCAGAGTTTACCTCGTGCAATGGCTGCTTCGGTGTGCTGATCTCGTGTTCACCTTTATGCGCCAGGTCACCGAACAGGCCCAGCCCCTCCAGCATCCTCTCCCTCCCTCCATGTTCCTGGCTGGCCTCCCGGCCGTACCTTGCACTTGCGAAACTTCTCTATTCCAGGTGTGTCCTCGAGGCACTCGAACGTCCCGAGTCTTTGTCGAATAGCACATATTGGCCTTCCAGACACAATGCTCTGCATCGTGCATTCCCCTCTTCATCGAGATGCTCAATTACGACCAGAGAGATTGCGGACTGTGGAGGACGGAAACCTTGGTCGAACTGGGTTCGACTTTGTCAAACCCTCATTGCGGCTTCATCTAATATTCCCGCCCCTAGTGACTGTAGGCGACACACCAGTCGCCACTGATCCTCGTCTGCTCGGCTTCAACCGAATCGCACCCACCAGCTTGATACGAGTCACACTTCCAGTCAGCACCATCGGACGGCGAACCGTCGACGCACTGAGCACCAGGTTCTTCGGCTCTAGCTCGCTTCTCCTAACTCTCAAACTGCCCGCTCAAATCGATGTCCCCACGCTGTGTCTGCCAACTGGCGGATTGATCGAACTTTGCGCATCGCGCGTTGCCTTGCTGACCCGGGTCACTGCGGCGAGCGGGAAGACACAGCTCACACGGCTGTTGAATACTTGACTGCTGGTTGCTGCAGCAAGCTGACCCAATGCTTTGGACCAAGAAACAGACCCTCGGGTTCCGAGTTGATCCCAAGGTGATGAACCCCGATGACTGCCCCCCCTCCCCGCCAGCAGGGTGAGTTCCACCATCACGCCGCCAAGGCCCTCGACGGCGCCAGTATCAGCACCAGTAATAGCACTACGACCAACGAACGCCAGCACCAACCTCCGAGCCGAATCCACCCACTCCCCGCCATAGGAAGAAAAGAACGAGACCGAAAGGAGATGAAATGACGACGAGACCAAGCTTGGCCATTGGCACATGATGCCGTTTCTGTGCCGTCCTCTGCAACCAGCCCCCAAATATTGGACTGATCCGTCTCGTCCAATGTCGGTTGACCCGTCGTCCAGGGGCTGTCCATCTGTTGTGGGCACATCAATTAAAGGAAACGGGACCCCACGAGTCGTCAATCGGGCTTCGGCCGGACGCGACAACAAACCTGAACAGTGATTCAGGGCCTCCTCACAGATGCTTCATTGGCTCTATTGACTGGATGGCTTGCAGCTCGCACCTGCAGCCGCCCATTCACCTTCACCGTTTCACTGCTCAACGACCCTCCATCGGGTTTGCGTTGCCGTGAATGCAGTGGGTAGCCTGTTGGAGGCTCGTCCCATGACGGCTCGAACGCATACTTTGGAGATCACTTGGGCGAACTCATCGAAAAAGGACTCCTCTGAGACAGCTGGACCAGGACCAAGACTACCAATACGACGTTGGTGCCACGGCACGTAGACAGAGCCCTGTACCTCCACCATAACCAGCGTACATGGTGGCCTGTATGCCTTCAACGCCAGCACCAGTGGGGCCCAATGCCCAGCCATTACACCATTGCCAACGCCAATGCCAATGCTAATGCCAATTTGCAACCTCATCCAGTCATACATGTACATCAAGTCAGAACGGGTCCCGCCGCCAGGTGTTGTCAGGCAACCGTCTTCTGGAGTTGGAGCGGGAGTATAGTCAGGTAGTGCTCGACGACTCGAGCATAACTCGGCCGAAAGTGCCCAATTAAGCTCTTAGATCCGGCCGAGCAATTGGATGGCAGGCTAGGATCAGCAAGATAACGAGCGAATGCTGTACAAGGGCCGCCAAGAGATCGCTGAAGGCCCACCGCTGTCATTTCAATTCAGCCCATGCAGTACCCTGAGAAGTTATTGGGCGCCAGCGTGCAAACCTCCAAAACTTGCATCGCGACGACGTCGCAGCAACGCGTCGGCACCTCCATCTTCTCATTTCACCTCGCCGCCGCAATCATGTCGCGCAAATCATGGGCCGATGGCTTTCGCTTCGACAGGGACCTCTGGGATCCCTCCAACCGCTTCGAGACTTCATGGCTCCTGTCGCCGTGGGTACTTTTTGCCTGCCGCGCCCTAATTGTAAGACCTCCTTGTTGCAGAACACGCGATCCCCAACGTTGAGATTGGTCTAACCGCCGTGATTTCAGAGCATCTTCATCTTCACCACCCGATTTTATCTGATTGCCCGTCACTGCCTATCTGGCCCCCGTGGGTGCGACGCCGCCGTCGACGAGTTCTCCTTCTTCACGATCCTTACATTTTGGGGCCTGGGCTTCTACTTTGCCTTTGCTGCCATCCACACGCTCACCTACGCGCTACGCGCACGCCCTCTGCTCGACTCCTTCCCCCGGCCCCTGCAAGCGCTGCATTCCCTCTTCTACACCACCATCACTGTCTACCCGTGGCTCGTCACCATCGTTTACTGGGGCGTCCTCTACTCCGGCCCCTGGTACGAGCAGCCCTACCAGGCCTACTCGAACATTTCGCAGCACGCCCTCAACTCGGCCTTTGCTCTTTTCGAAATCATCATCCCCCGCACGGCCTACGACCAGATGCGCCTCGTCCACATGCTCTGGCTCATTGTCATCCTCGCCTTCTATCTTGCCCTCGCCTACATGACCGAGGCCACCCGCGGCTTCTACCCGTACAGCTTCCTCGACCCGGACGCCAACGGTTCCGGCGTCGTGGCTGGCTACATCCTCGGCATCGCCGCCGCCTCGCTCATCATCTTCTGGGCCGTCAAGGGCCTCGTCTGGGTGCGCCAGTGGCTGACGGAGCGCCGCCTCGGCATGGATGGCAAGTTTGCGCGCCAGCCCGCGTACGACGAGACGGAGATGGGTACCATTGGTCATACCGCCAAGCCAAATCATGACCGCGAGGCCGAGCTTGACGGGCCGGTCGATCGATTTTGAGGGTTCGGAGAAGATGGGAAGAGCGAGAGGAGAACGACGTCATTATAATGCCTAATGTCGGCGAAACACGCTGATTTGAGAACGGGAGGGTGGTTTCAAAGACACACGTTGTACTTGCAATAATTTTGGTCGTGCAATATACAAACGAGTACACGCCCCAGATCGCCTAGCACTTGAGTGAAATGCCCTTCCGGAGTTCCGACTCGCGAATCTCAAACATGACCTGAATACCCACGAACAGCGCCCCGCATGCCGTGACGAGGAAGAGAAGCCCTGGTAAGCGTCAGCTCGAAGGGAACGAACAGATAGGAGGAGGAGGAGGAGAGCAGGAGACGGAGAAAACGCACCGGACCAGTCATGCAGGATCTGATACAGAATCGCCTGCAGCCCATCCAGCCCGACGGCGAAACCGACGAGGTTGGCCATGATCATCATGATCACGTTGGCCACGGCACCGGCGCCGCTGAGCATGCGGTACTGCTTGGCCGTGTACTTTTTGGCCGGGAACAGGAAGCCGGCGATGACCTCGGGCATCATGAACAGCACGATGAGCCAGCCCCAGATGAGCAGGCGTAGACGAATGTCGTGCCACAGCGCAACAAAGGTGAAGACGAGGAGAAAGGTCGCGACGGAGCGGACGGAGCGGCGCCAGCCGCCGGCAAAGTCGGCGCCGCCGAGGGGCACGTAGATGTAGCGGATGAGCCAGCGGTTGTAGGAGCGGTGCCATGCTTTCCAGAAAGACTTTGTGGAGAAGTTATTGGAGACGCAGCGGATCATGTTCTCGGGAGGGTCGACGCCGTCGAGCAGGGCCCAGAGACGGAAGAGGCGCCAGGGGAGGAGGAGTTTAAGCCAGATGAGGTGAAGGTTGAAGAAGGAAAGGAGGGACAGTTGAGCAGCCGTGTAGTCGGCCCAGACAGGGGCGGCGTGGGAGATGGCGCCAACATAGTCGTAGTGGAGGATGACTTCCATGGCTAGAAGGGTGAAAACGAAGCGGACCGCATAGCGGGCTGTCCGGGGCCCTTCGATACTGGCAGAACGGTGCTTGAGCTGTGATATGAAGTCATTGAAGGTCATGATGGGTCCCACGAGGTAGAGGGGCGCATAGATGGTGTATGCAACGTAGTTCCGCCAGGTGAAGTCCTGGGGTTCGGCCGGGATGGCGATGCGGTCACGTTCGGAGAGATTGGAGGGGTCGAGTTGCTTCTTCTTGGGAATATCAGCATCACGGATAATGCGGAACAGAGGAGTCTGTGAGGCGGTTCATCGAAGCTTACCTCGAGCGGGCTTCCACTGCGGGAGTCAAGGCTCCAGTAATAGTCGAGATTGAAGCTGATGAGGCGCAGGATGGTGAGGTTGAAGAGCACCTCCCAACGAGGGTTTAGGCCGCCATAGCTGTCCAAAGTCGCGCCCCATTGTACGAGAAAGGGCTGTGCCGCATGGGCATCGGCGGAGACAGGAGACAGCCATTGGGCTATCCGCTTGAAGTGATACCCCTGGAAAGTCTCGTTGGCAAAGAGCGTGATGATGTTGAAGGCCCACGTCGCCGTGGGCACATGTTTCCTCGGCAGAGCCGTAGCTATCTTGTAATTGACATACAAAATGGCCAGCACTTTGAGCGCAGAGACGCCATGAAGAACGGCGAGGAAGACTAGGGCGAAGATAAAGTCGAAGCTCGCACGCTGCTTCAGTCGCGCAGCTCCCTGGTCGGCCGTTGACCTTCGGTGCAGTTCGTTTGATACGGGGAAAACCGAGTTCCAGGCTTTTCTAAGCAGCGGATGCACGACCAGAAGAGCGCTCATGGCAGGGAGGTTGGATCGGAAGAAGCTATATTGCTGGTCGGACACATCCTAAGGTTGTCAGCTGGTGGTCTCGTTGGGGAAGGCAATCATTACGGACAATCTTGCGCCCTGGAATCCAGCCATCAGAAAGCAACCTTTCATATTTGTGGTATCGAGGGTCGGTAGCTGCGTGCGCGGGTCAGCACACATCATCAACGCAGGAGTGGCCATCTTACGGCGCGAGACGTCGTATGCGATCCAGAACATCCACGGCACCACGACGGACAGCACGAGGTAGTAGAGGAGAAACTCTGGGGATCTCCATTTTGACGGCTGAGAGCGACTGTGGGCCTTGATTGGAGGTTCTCTGCCCAACGCGGGGTCGGCACGCGCTTCGACGACAGTCTTGTACGGGACGGAGGAGGGGCTCGTGAAGCGAGTGTCGAGGGTGTCGAGGTCGTAGATGGACCGGAGGTAGGAGAAGATCGCCATGGGAGGCGACCTTGTGTTGGGTTCGGAATTCTATATGAACTGATGCTTCTTCACCGCATCTTCGTGCAAAGCGGGCGCGCGGTCATGAAGGTCACTCGCACGATGTCGTCAAGATGTGGCCGAGATAATGTCGCGTGTTCGTGTTCAATTCGGGTCCAGGTCCAAGGGTCTTCCTGCTGCCCCCCCCAAAAAGGCACCTACGTTCCTGGCGAGCTTAGACTGGCGGGGCGGGCGAACTGGTTTCAGGGGCCGATGCAAGGCTGTCAGGGAGGCCAGGCCTAGGATCCAGCCAGGCCAATGAGCGCTGTTTCGATGACAGTCCCCAGCATATGATCAGCGCCAAACCACAGCCTCATAAGCCTCGGCATCTCCGATACGTCAGATGGATGTCCTGTGGCGCGTGAGACAGGACACGCAAAGACGATGAAACTCAAATCATGAGTGAATTGGTGTGGTCAGTCATGAAATCGTGGTATTTCGTACATAGTATAGAGGTAATCGCTGCCAAGCTAAGCCCGTCCCTACCCATCAACCGGGCATCTGTACTCTCTAGAATGGCTCGCCTCAAGGCTCGTCCTATCCTTCTTGCCGCTCTCTTCCTCTTGAGACTGCAAAGCATCCAGGCATGCTTGGTGATAAATGTGCCTACACGCCAAAACAACCAATGGCCCCAGAGGCTGTTCGCGCATGCTGTTTACAGCGAGGTCCGCAGCGTCGTCGCCGTCATGAGAACCATCCTCTGATTTGTTGCCTGCGGCATCCTGGGCCAGCTCTGCGCCATTGCCTGGACCGATCTTGCCCTTACCCCGCGCTTCATGTGGAGGCAGTCCAGAATGCTCTGCCGCGCCTTTGCCTTTAGTCCTGTCCGTGATGCTTGCGAGCAGAGCCTTTCTCTCGGCCTGTTTCTGCTCTTCAGCAGCCTGCTTATCCTCCCAAGCTTCAAATACGTTACCTGATACACCTGGTCCCCAGACGCGCCGGCCGCACGCCTCGCATGTGGAGCCCTTCGGTCGCCAGCCTCGCTGTCTCAACTGTACCGACTGCTTGACATTGACGAACAGGCTTCGCTCGAGAAGTCGGTTCGATAATCGAAGAATCGACTCCTCGTATGCATAAGCTGAGAAAATCGAGGCCAGAACCGCCCTCAGATCCGCTAGATTTGGTGACGAGGCCGCGGCGTGAGCAAGAAACTCTCGCAATATCCGTAAGAATGACATGTTGTTGCCGGCGGTGGTGAGGACCCGTCCGTTGGCCTGGGCATTGGAAGCGCTGGACGTCGTCGTCAGGAGAGCGGTGAATGTGTGTTGGACCAGAGACCGCAGAAGCCCCAGCAGTTTGTCTGTATCGAGACGCTCCCAGCTTTCAAGATCGCGGTCCCCATCATCTTGCGCTTTTCCGACTGCATCGATGGTCGCCGACAGCTGTCGAGTAGTATGGACAGCCGCGTCTATGAGGCTGAGCCAGAGCGACTCGGAAGATGAAAGCGTCTCGTTGGCAGCTTGCCGCTGCCCCCGCTGGGAGACGGATGTGGTCTTCGCAGTTGACTTTGTTTGTCCCTGACATAGCCAAATACCAACATGAACATACTTCTGGAGGGCCCCGAGAGCTTCTTCTGCAGAATCTTGTAGACCGAGACGGTGTTCGCTGTCCTCCACGCCCGTCAAGATACCTTGTAGAGCGGATTCGAGCGTCCCAAGATGTTTGACGAGTCTGTCCATAGCGTCCTTGACCTGGCCTTCGCGAGCCATGAGCGTCACAGCAGCATCTATTACGCCCGTGTCCTCCATGGTTGGTAGCAGGATGCTCAGTCTCAGGTTTGCAGATTGAATAACACTGATGTAGTCGGATACATGATCAGGGTCGAACTGACACATGAGTTGGACGTATCGCTCGAGGAGATCGCGCTCTGGATTAGCCACTAGTACTTCCTGCCTGTCGTGACCGCCTGGCTCGAATAGCGTCTGGAGATACTCAAATTGCAAGTCCGGCACATTTTGTACAGAGTTCAAGATGTGTTGGTGAAGATCAGAAGACTGGCTGGCGAGTGACCTTGCAGAGTCTCGGGGGTCAAGCTCGATGAGGTCTCGAGCATGCTCACGGATCACATCTTCGACGTCTTGCAACTGTTTAGTGCTCAGGCCGCTATGCGGCCGGAAACACTCGCTGATGCAGTCAAAGACTGCATGTCGTTCATCATGGTCTTCAAAATGAGTCTGAACCAGCATGCCATATTCCCTATCCGCCTTGTACTGTTGTTTCAAGATACGATAGAAACCGGCTTTCTTGAAGATCGGCAACAGATTATTGGTGTCTGGAGGGTGATAGACTGACAATAGGTACTCGGCGCTGAGCTGAGCATCTTCGGCGAGATCCTCTCCAGGGTAGTTGCAGAGACCTGTGAGGATTCTCCTCAGGGTGGATCCAGGGAAAAGCAGGTATTGGGGAAACTTGGGCAAGTTCCGGGCGATGAACATGTCAAGGTAGATGGTGTCTTCGGGGGCAAAGTCGCCAGGGTTCATAATCTCGAGAAGGATGGACACGATGTATTGCCGATCCACAGTCATCCCAAAGATCTGCTCTTCAGGCATATCCCCGTCAACGGTTCCGGTGTGTTTCTCCGGTGAGTTGTTCAAATATGAGTCCTCAAACGCTTCGTTGAGGGCACTCAAGAAACTCGGCGCATCGAATTTGAGGATGAGTCGAAGGTAGGGGAAAGAGGGCTCACTGGCTTGGGACGGTCTTGTAAGAAATCGGCGTTTGCTCCCTCTAGGCCATATAACGCTGTTGCCCGAAAACAGGAACCAGTAGAGCTCAGCTTTCGCCTTTGGTCCTGCTGTATCGTCCAAGTACTCCCCCGTCGGATATACCCTCCCGGTTAGGGTGTATGAGAGGTAGGGGAACATCTTTACAGCGTCGGCGCTGTATTGGTCGTCCAAGTCATCAGAGGATGGATATTCGCCATTGCCCATGAGGGGCACCAACAGACTCAGAAGGTCGACGAGAGGTGTGATATGGTCGCCGAGAGCTTGATTCCACACGTAGATTAGAGCGTCGTAGAGCCTGTGCTGTTTGCAGAGAAGAGTGACTTGGTCGAGATCCAGTGTGGTAGTTTCCATGTGGACGATCATCTCCTCGAGACGACTTTCCCATCCTTTGGTTACGAAATAGGTCACCATCGACTTGATGACGCCGGGGGGGGCAATAGTGATAGTCCTTTCGAGGATATGTGGCTCAAGTGTTTCGAGAAAAATACCTTCTACACCGGCGTCTTCGTACCACTCGTACATCTCGTCAAAGAGAAAGTCAAGATCACCTACGCTTTGGCAAGCCACGAAGCAAATTTCGGCCAACTCCTGCAGGTGAGTTTCATCTACCACCATAGGATCTTTCTGTCGCTGGCTAAAGGCGTACTTCAGCGATGCGCTCATGATCTCCATCAACTTGTCATGCACCATCGAATGTCGAAGAGCTGTGTCTTCTGGGAGGCCGACTGTCAGCTTCTCAGCGTCGCCCGTGTAATACGAGGTTGCAAGGCGTATGGCAGCAATGTAGTCGCCGTTCTCCATGAGAGCAATCAGTCGGTCCGCCCAATTCGATAAAGACCCGATGGAAACGTCATTGAACCCAAGCAGGAAGAGACGTCCTTTGTATGCTTTGAAGCTCATGTAAAACGCATCTGCGACCACGCCATGCATCGAGGTGTCTCCTTCGTCATGCTGCTCTACCAGGGAGTGAAGCTGCTTGGAGAAAAGGTCGACGTGGTAGATGTACTTATGAATGAGATCGAAGCCGTCAGTCATACGCATGCTTCGATCCTCCAGTACGATGAGTTGTTGAGTGATGGTGAGGACGGTGAGAACGGAGCGACTGAGCCACTGAACAGCAACAATTGCCTCTTCGCACTTCCACCGGTTCCGCGACTTGAACATGAGAGTTGGTGGTTTGTCCTTGTTGTCCGAGGGAATCTCATCGACGTCGAGAATGGTCAGGACATTGGACCAGCAGTACACGAGCTTGACTTTCGAGATGTCGCTTCCTGTTGTATGATCTGGAACCTTAAGCTTGACAGCTGGAAACCATGCAAGGCAGCCGGTCATGGCACTGTGTTGAGCAACATCTTTTGGTCGAGCCGATTTGTGTTGTGTCTGCGCGAGAGGTGTTGTAGAGACAATGACGAGCAAGTAAGGCGTCAGCATGGCCGTCAGGCCCACGCTATCCGTAGCTCTCTCCGTGTTCCCCAGTGGACAGGAGGCAAACGCTAAAACGGTGCTGGGCCTCATCGCCTTTCCAACTGGCGCAGGCGCGTCCGGATATCGACCCAGAATCCTGGTTGTCTTTACGGTCCTTCCCAGAGCACCTGTACCCCTTGTCGCAAGATGCGAAAAGGCCATGCCCTTGTCATCCGCAGAAACCAGAGCGGTGTGCCTGGTGCCTAGAAACCCGAGGTGCGTGACGGCCACGTTGGGAACATGGCCGTCTTCTGTCCGATTTTGCATCTGGGACGGCTCGAGATGGGGAATCTGTAGAAAAGGCCTCGACGCCCTGCTGGTGTCCCATGTGAAGATGCTGCCATTGGCATGGCCTCCTGCAATCGTCGAGTGGTCCGCCGAAATTGCAATGGAGGTGATGGCACCAGATTCGACGGCCTTTGTCCCAGGCCCCAGAATGGTCTTGAGGTTCTGGTTGTAGTCAAACATTAATATTATCCCTTTGCTCGTGCCGAGTACAATCGAGGCCGACACGGCGATGCAGGTTGGTACGCCAAAGTTTCGCTTCCCGGCTTCCGAAAACGCCTGACTGTTCATCTTCTTCAACTTTGTCCACCGGACGACCTCCCAAGGTGGTGTCTGGACCTCGGTGTCGTCTTTGCTAAATATGATCTGAGAGCTCAGGGAGACGTTGCGGCTGTGTGTTGACAGGAACGCCGGTGAGGAAGGTCGCGGGCTCCCGGTGAAGCTAGAGGATAATCGCGATTGGAATCGTCGGTCAAAGGGCCTAAACGAAGGTGTCGGGCTACTAAGGCCAGGCCGTGAAGCAACAGAAGGAAGAACACTGCTTCCGGGGGAAGACACCCCTGAGCCCTGCAGCTCGTCAGCTCATACCCTCCCGCGCAAGATGGTCCAAACATACCGCAATGGATGGGGTGTCATCCGGCACTGAGAGAAGGGAATCTATAGGACTGCCTACCCGCCGTGGCAGGGCGTCCACGGACCCATCCTCCGATACATCATCTACTTGACCACGTAGTATCTGTCGGTATCGATTGGCCGCGATCCCAGTTTCCACGGGATTTGGTGGCTCTAACGCGTGGTTGAGCTGCGTCTCTTGCTCTTCAGCAAGATGAAGGACAGCATCGTGGTTGGCGGCGCCAGTCGAATCCTCTTCGATAATCGACTGCGAAGTATCCGAGGAGGAGCTATCATCGTTTTCGGCCATTGTCCGACCATGTCCCTCGTCACTCTCCGTTGGGGATGGGCTCATCGATAGCAGAGCATTACGCGCGTATCATATCCTCCGAGAGTGTCGAAAGAGCTCAGTGGAGCTCTGAGGTGCCGGGTCACCCGTTCGATGTCGGATGTCTGGGTATTAGCAATCGATTTCTGAGCTTTAAATAGGGAATATAAGCTGTAGTATCGCCCAATCGTTCTCTTGGTCAGACAACAGCCGCGTCGCAAGAGGAGGTGGTCGAGTGGAGGAAGCTTAAATCAGCCTGGAGTGCGCCGCGAGCCAAGTATCACGTCGCCTGGGAAGCTCCAACTGCCTAGAGGCACAGTTGCTTTTGGGGGGGG